AAGAACCAGAAATGAGTAGAACTGTGACATGTATAATTATTCTTCAAGCTTGTGTCCAGGTAGGCAGCATCCATTACAGAATGTGGGTGGAGTGTGAGGAGCCATCCACCAGTCTCCAGGGTACATGCTTGCTCTCATTCTGTGTGAATCATGTCCCCGCCACAGATACAAGTAAACAATGAGTCATCCCCCACCTATTTCCCCCAGTTCATCCTCAAGATTTTCTCATTCAAAACTATTGTAGCTTAGAAAATATTCAGAATCAACTAACAAGTCAGATAGGAACTCTTCATTGAAAGATGTGGCTTTACAGCAAACAGTTTCATCAGAGTGGAGGCTGAAAAAATTGTATCTGTTGTTTGTAGATTGAGATATGACTGGATCCTTAGGCTTTATGGACACTAATTATTATTGTCTGGGAAAAGTCAGATATCAACCTCTTTATCTCACTCACTGTCAAAGAACACACAGTAAAGATAATAGGAAATGGTAAATGCCCTATTTCTTTTCAAACATTGACATTACAGAGAATATGTGTTATGTGTCTAGGAGAATTTGACATTTTTAAATTCTAAAGATGGGTTCCTTTCCTTGTTATAAACAGTTTTTAATCCACTGGATTGAGGATTTAATCAAATGAACCTACTTTAATTATATGTATTGATTCAGATTCTATTTTTATCATGATGGGATCAAATTGTGGATAAAATTCACCCCATTTCAATCAGAGTGGAGACTGTTTGCATTCTCAAAGTGGGAGATCCTGATATGACTGACTGCTGCTATGTGTAAAGTCTACCGCTTGATGTTGGAGGTCCCTGCATCCCATAGTTACCTTTTTGAATGGACAACCTTCCATCATATTGTGATGTCAGAACCCCAAAACTATGATTTTCACCCTCAATTCTAATTCAAAATGTTTTATCATCCTTAATTATGTCATTTCAAACCTTCCTTGAGAACTGAATTTGAAATGTTGCTGGGTGGTTGGCTAAACTTTGTACAGAAAGGAAGTCGACTGTGTAACCAATGCAAATGTTTCAGAATTTCATTTGTTTGCAAACTACAAGAAAATAACACATGGTATACTTATGATATAGTTAAGTCTTCGAGGGTGTTATTTTGACAGTGTTGGTTGTAGAAAAGGACAGACTGCCTCCAGAACTCACTGCTGTGGGTCCCTGGATGGGCTTGGCACTCAAGAGACTTATTTGCCTTGGTGGCAGCAGGAACTGCAGCCTTGGGCACCTGCTACAACAGTGGCTGCTGGGTTGGCAGCCGCAAGTGGGTCGTGTCTGTCACCTGTGCTCGTGTTGGTAGAGTGCTGGCTGTTTTCCACTGGTAAATGCCATTTTTCTGTCATCACCTTTGGAAATTGTAGCTCTGTCCTTTTCCAGTTACAGACTCATTACGTTAATCTCAAAAAGAGCACTTACTTTCAAATATTGATACTTATTTAGCTGCCAGTGTGTTGAGAAAGCATACGTGAATATATTCTGGAATCTACAACCTGTCAAAATTGAGACCTATGTAAAAGATATTTCAAGGCTTTCAAACATCACATGATATTGGTCAAATGACAGAAATATTTATTTCTGTGACATTAGAGTTTTTCAAAGGAAAAAAAAAACATTTTTACCCAAGTTGAAAATTAACAGACATTTGTTGTTGCTGGAATGGTGAGGAAAGCACAGTGGTGCATCATGGGTGTGAAGGTATTATTTGGAGGAATAAGGAACGCTTTCGGAGGAAGCAGTGAAGAAAGAGAGGCAATAATGGGGGAAGTAGGGAAGAGGAAACCAAACCCGAGGTTTCTTAACACAGTGAAAGCCTCAGTTCTTTTTTAGAGTTTTACTCATACAGATGGGTCATCTCTAAACTTGACAACATAAGAGAGGATGAAAAATGAAATTGGACAAGATTACAAATAATGTAACATAATATGTTTCTGAAAGCTGCCTCACACAGTCAGGTTCCTTTTGTACATTGTGATTTCCTTAGGTCCTTCATTTGTTCCCTTTGGAGATACTCCTTCGCAGATAGGTGTTAAACACTGTCCTGGCCATCAACTTCAAATACCCTGCTGTGATTCAAGATAACAGCGTTTCCTGAAGTCAGCCTCAGAAGAAACGTGCCAAAGACCACCAGCAAATGTGCATTTGTTCTACAGATTAATAACCAAGTCCTGGCAATTTATTAAGGCTCTGATTGTAGAAAGCTGATGAGAGAGTTGAATAATTAAAAGACATATTATAAATTACTAGGATGAACAATAATGATATAGTTGGATTTCTTTTATAATTTCAAACCATTGCCGTATAACAAAAGTTTTAAAATGAACTACGAGTTCAAATTCATAAGTATATTTACATGTCGTTACTTGTTAAATCTAAAGATTGCCTTTAGTCTTAAATGTTTCTCATTCCATGAGAGAGTAGAGGAATCAGGGCTAGAGAGATGGCCCAGAAGTTGAGTATACACTTCTCCTAGAAATGAATGGCAGGTAGTAAAGGTGGGTTCCTCCTATGTGCCAGGCCTTGTGTCCAATAGGGATGCACCGAGAGGAGAAATGTCCTGTTCCTTGTGGAGCAGGAGGTTGGCAGCCTGCTCTTCCTTCATCTCCCCCACCCACCCCAAAGCACAGGTGACCTGTGCCTTCAGGATCAATGGGGAACCATAGCAGGCTTTGAGGGGCAGAGAGCAGTGCCGGGGAGGCGAAGAGAGGGTTGGGAAACTGAGAAGGGCCAGAGGAGGTGACTCTTCTGAAGCTCTGGAAAGACGGACTCTAGACTCAGTGTGCCTGACAGCACTGTCTACAGCCAAGGAAGTGGAGCTGGGAGGCAGCAGGAGTGGTCCTGGAAAACATTCCTTCTGTGCGGTTGACGTCTATAAGGAAAGGGCGGTCCGCCGTGAGTGATGCTGGACAGGAAGACGGAAGGGCGGGGCTAAGAAGGATCATGTGGGATGGAGAAGGACCCCTCACCTCTCAGCTATCGACACCCATATAAAGGGGGATGAAAGTGTCAGGAGAGAGGACTCTCAAACTAGGCCTCCAGTGCATTAAATAAGCAAGGAAAGGACAAAACACGAGAAAATAAGAATTTGCACTTCAGCTAATCATACCTACCAGAAACCCACCGTGAAACTAAAGAAAAACCATATAGAATACTGTGACATGAATTAAATATTTTTTCTTCAGCCCTTTGGATATATGAAACAATCAAACAGAAAGCCTCATTGCGTTGAAAATACTAAAGCACAGCAGAAAACAAGGAAAAAGAAAAGAAAAAATGAAATAAAGTGAGTGCTAATTGAACTCCTGAGAAATATAGGCGATAAAAAAAAATAAATAAATGAAAGCTAAATCACAAGGTGTCCAGAGGAAATTAAAACGGTAGGCAACTGTACATTTAATATCCATAATAAATGTAAGTGGCCTATCCCCATCAAGTAAAAACAAGACATTGGCAGGATGGGATTTTAAAACATATGGTCCAGTTATATGCTATTTGTAAAACTTCACCTCATTATGGTAGTATTGGTAAGATAGATGGAAAAGGACCATAAAAGATCCACCATGTAAATAATCACTTTCAAACTGGATGAGCCATATAAGGTTAATGGTGGAGCAGTAAATACTTCCAATAACAAAGGAATATACAGCCATAAAAGGGTTTAATTCACAAAAATCAAAGCATGATAAAAGTGTGTGCAATGAACATCAGCACTTCAAGAGCTTAGGGAAGCCGGGCTGCTGAGTTGTTGCATTAGATAAAGGGCATATGCCCTCAAGCCTGGCATCATGAGGTCAGCACCTGGGAACCATGCGCTGGAAAGAGAACTGACTCCTGCAGGAAGACATCCCACCTACACATAAATGCATGTGTACCTGTGCATACACACTGGTTTGTTGTCCATTGCTGGGGTGAACATTATGCCCAGAAGCACATTCTGTGGGAAGGGCTTTCTTCCATCTTATGGGTATAGTCCATAACAGGTGCAAGTCAGAGATTCTTGTCCCTGGCGTCTGTTTGTCCAGCTTTCTTATTGAGCCCAGCAACACCTGTGTAGGGATGCCACCACGGGCGCGGGGGTTGGGGGGGCTCCTCTATTGGTTAGCAATCAAGAAAATGCTCCACAGACATGCCCACAGTCCAGTTTGATTAAAGAGACCCCCTAATTGAGATCCCTCAGATAACTGTGGGCTCTGTCAGGTTGACAGCTGAAGCTAATTAGGACATAAACACCCAAAGTAAATAAGTGTAAAAAAAAATAAAATATAAGAAGCAAAAGGAAGAGAACACCTAGAGATCCCAAAAGATACTTTGATTATGCCACCATTGTAGTTGGGGACATTAACATTACACTCTCAGTAATTGTTAGAACTATTATTCTATTCAGAAAGTCAATAAGGATTTCGAAAAACTTAATTATATTGTGAAGTAATATGGTTTAGTTGATATTTACAGGACTTCCTATCCAGTACTAGTAGAATCATGGAACATATGTTATGATAAACCATGATGATAGTAAATAATCCTCATTTAAAACAAACTTCAAACATTTAAAAGAATTGAGGGCTGGTGAGATGGCGCAGTGGGCAGAAGCAAGTCTGATGGCTGAATTCTGTCCTGCAACCTACTTGGAGAGGGCCGATTCCTGCAGATTGTCCTTGGACCTCCACACTTGTGCTGGATACATACATGCACTCACATACTCAAATACATTTTACTTCTTTCCATTGGAAAGAATCTACACCACAGTAGGCATGTACTCTGCACTCGGTGGAACCTATCCAGAGACTACTGATGACAGACAGTTGAAGTAGTTGATAGTGAATAAATGAAAATCGTGTTCTTCCACCCATTATTCTGAATTGCTATTGGCTGAGAACGTGGGAAATGGATATCTTTCATCTGACAATGACCACATGGATAATGCAACATGCCGTTTGGTGGGAACTGATGGTAAATTGTTTCTCTGTCCACTTTGTTTTACAGCTTCTCTATTGAAAGGATTAAAGCACGCAAACATTGTGCTGCTCCATGACATCATCCACACCAAGGAGACACTGACGCTTGTCTTTGAATATGTGGTAAGTGAAATGAATAAGATTTCAGGCTAGCTAAATAGGAATAGAATACAGTGGGCTGGAGAGATGGCTCAGAGGTTAAGAGTACCGACTGCTCTTCCAGAGGTTCTGAGTTCAATTCCCAGCAGCCACATGGTGGCTCACAACTATCTGTAATGAGATCTGGCACCCTTTTCTGTATACATAATAAATAAATCTTTTTTTAAAAAAGGAATAAAATACAGTGATAGGAGTTGATTTCTAAAGTGCTATACCGAAATGAGTGATTTTTCTGAGTATATGCAGTATTGCTTTGCATAAAATAATGGCCCTGTGAGAGGTTTTTTTTTTTTTAAATATGTCTCTTAAATAACATCCAGAAAAATGTTAAGCTCCACTTTGTTAGGTATATGATTTATTTGTAGACTATTTGTTACCAGTGTGCTTAAGTTGTGATTTTTAGGCATATCAAAAAGGATGGTCACTATCAAAGGAATTCAGAGGCAACACAATATATTTTCCTTGGGATTTCCAAGTTTTCCTCCCCACTTATTTTGGCCATGAACCAAAGCTTCCAATTTGTGTCGCATACCATGTAACAATCTTCTGTGCTGAGGGTGGCACTGCTGGAAGACCTGAACTTGAGCTGGTGATTAATCTTTCTTCATTTTCCTCACTAAAACATATGGTGTTTGTGTAGCACCGTCTCAGCATTTAACTGTGGAATCATGAAATGTAACCATGATAATTAGCATCCCAGTCTTCACAGATGGATCTGAGAACATGTAATTTATAAGATACAAATGACGGCGGTGCCGACTTTCTAGTGTGAAGAATAGCTACCGGGATTTTGAGGATCAAGTAAGGTCTCATTTTTATAATTACCACACTAGGTTTTTTTTTTTTATTGAAATAATTCCATTTTTTCCTTAAAAGTATAAAAGAATGAATATTTGAAGCATTTTTGTCTTCTTAATGTCTGCCTGTGTCTGTTTATCATTTGAAAATTGTTGTCTCATGAAGAAGCTATTCATCTTGTCTATTTACATATAAATGATAGATGTATTTGAATAATATGGTAATGTGGCTGCAAGGACAGCTACTACTAGCGAGTTGCATAGATTACAGAATGGAAGCAGATTCACACATCAATGCAAATATAATTTCTTTTGTTTCCTCCATGATTTGGAGTCAATAACGTATTGAGCTGACTTAGGCTTGGAATTTTCCATTCATGTTTTCTAGTATGTCTGATTTACATATTTCAATAAAACCTAGATTTTTCTATTTTTATTCACTATTTCCCATAATGCTTTAGAGAAAGAGTATTTAATGATGTACTTATTCTCTCCCTCAAATTGGGCAATTAAACTAGAAGAAAAAAAGCAATGTTTGGAACACCTAAATTAACACACTTCATGTTTATTTCCCTGTACAGTTCACTGGTGTGTAGTTAAACACACATATATGTATATGTTAATTAAATTAATATGTACATATATGCATAGATGCACACATAAACATGTGGCTTTTTGGTATGTTCTGAAATCAATATTAAACATTGCAGTTGAAACAGTCCCAAGCTTTATAATATTACCATTAAAATATAAATATTTTATACCATTAAAATACCATATAAAATCATTTATAATGATTTTAAAGTTGATATAAACTTATTTTCTAATCAGCATTAATTCTGTTGCTCCATGTCACTAATAGTATTTCTTGTTGGTCCTGGCGGCACAGATTCCCAATTTCTCAGGAGACTGAAGCAGGAGAGTTGTAATTACCTGGCATGTCTGCACAAGAGAGCAAATTAAAGGCCAGCCTGGTCAACTTAGCAAGACCCTGGGTCCAGAGGGAGTGATATGGAGAAATGCAGCTCTGGGGCAGAGGACTGTGTCCATTACTGCGCTGTTGCTATGATAGTATACGATAACCAAAGCAATGTATGGAAGGGTTTATTTTGACTTAGGATTCCAGAAAGGGTGAGTCCATCCCGGGGTGAAGCAAGAAAGTTTGACAGTTTTTGAGACACAAGTGTGTCTTTGCTTTAACAGTAGAATTCCATTTTTAGTTGGGGAGGCATGGCAGCAAGCCACAAGCATAGCGGCAGGAGCACGAAGCTGAGGGCTCAGACCATGAACTGCAAGCCCAAAGGTGAAGCAAAACTGGAGTCCTGAGACCGTGAACTCCCACAGCCTGTCATTAGTGATGGACGTCCTCCAGCCAGGCCGAAGTGTTCCATAACCTCTCCAATCAGCACCACCAGCCAGGGTCCACATGTTCCAGTCTGTGAGCCTGTGGGGGGCATTTGTCATTCAGACTACTTCAAATTCATGCTTCCTCAGTAAAAGACCTTGGACTCAATCTCCACTACCACCTAAACAAACATACAAAAACCAGAAGAAAACAAAACTTTTTTGAAAGGATGTTAAGTTATGCAATGTAGGAAAAATCAATATGCCATGCTCTTAAAATCCTAAATATAAAGGTAAAGAAAGACAGTTTGACAACTTTTGGACACTATTCTATCTTTGTAACATAGATGTTAGAATTGTTTTCAGTGGCTCTCTGAGGTCCTCCTATGAGCCTCACTATGCACATATAATGTATTTTGCCCTTGTCTTTGACAGAGAACTCTAATCCTTGCTCTTTTGTATTATTCCCACAAATGACATTTTAGGTTTCTGAAAGCCTTGTGAGGGCCAGAATAATGAAATAAGTGACTAATTGTTAGTGATATGGAAAAATGCTCAAGGAAATGGCTTTGGAGATAATTAGCACTGGAATTCAGTGGATAATAGAACTCTGTTGATCCTCTCAAGTACCATGAAAAGTTTCTAAATCATTCTGAAACTGAGTTTCTTACTTACTGCCAAGGTGTGCATATGGAATGCTCTGGAAACGTCAAGGCTAGGGCTTGTTGGCCACAGGCTTCCCAGATGGTTTCTATCTCAGTAGCAGGTCACATGGGCCTCTGAGATGTGTGCTTCTGGAACTGCCTTCATCCAGGAGATGAGAGATGTACAGGGGAAGGATAAGCAGGCTTGGAAAGGAAGCTGCTTCTTAATGGTCTAAGATACCGGTGTAGCTCTCCATATTTCAGGTGTGGGTTTAAACTTGAAAGAGAGAGATGATAGCATTTAGAATCATTGACTCCAGAATACTTGTAGCTATGATAATGCTAGCAAAATTGTTCTTTTACTTTAACAGAAAGCTTAAGCAATTTAGTTTTTTATGCTCATTTGTTGTTGTCAAAGACAAATGGATGCCACATTGTGTTTAACAGTATGATGAAAAATGTGAGACATATTCCATAAGTGGAAATAAGAATATTAATAGTAAACATGATTATATAAATGTATGTTGCCATTAATTTCATAACTATTGTGTTTTGCTTTAAATTACAAAAGAGCAAGCCATCTGGAGCATCATTTTTCATTGCATATTTAATAATAGTGTACAAAAAGAAGCAAAAGCCAGGCATGGTGGAAAATGCCTTTAACCCCAGCGCTCAGGAAGCAGAGGCAGGCAGAGTTCTCTATCAGCTCAAAGTCACTTGGTCTACATAGAGAGTTCCAGGCCAGCTAAGGCCACTTAGTAAGATCCTGTTAAAAATAAATAAATAAATCACAAAATTGAATGAGGTTACCAGACATGGACAAAGTTTCTATTTTACAAGATATATAGGTTATAGAGGTTAGTGTACAACATGGTGCCTAAAGTTATCAATATAATATTGTTGGCATATAGCGTTTGATAGGAAACCAGATATTACCTCAACTATTCTTGCCACCAAAACATGAATAAACATGAGCAAATGATGCAAGGATGTAGGAGATGGCCATGTCTATTACCTTTGTTGCCTTTTTGTGGTGATGGTAACATGGGTATGTACAGGTGTCCTGAGTCCTCAAAATGTGTGTGTGTGTGTGTGTGTGTGTGTGTGTGTGTGTGTGTGTGTGTAAATGTTAGTATATGAATTACTGCTCAGAAAGCTGCCAATGAAAGGAGAAAAGCCAGGAAATTCATAATGAATCACAATAAAATAGATGTGGTCATTTTATTTCTCCTACTATGATGTAAACCATTGAAATAATCCAAACTATTATGGAACATACTTTAAAACTTAAAAATGTAAGATTTCTCCTCACGAGAAAAAGACAATGTAACCAAAAATCATATAAGATGATTGCAAGATCACCAAAAACACCATGATATGTTTTCATAACTCTATTAATTTTATAAAACACTCCCATAAGTGTTGTCCACTTAAATTGTGAGATTTTGATAGTTGTTACTTTAACATCCTAAGTCTTAGAATAGTTTTTCCTGCATTAGTCATTAACTAGGGCTTGGGTGTAAACTGATGTAGACTGCAGATTAGAGATCCATGAGTGAAAACTAGGACATAGCCCACTTCAATGCTCACGGTGCTGAGGACATGCCCTTGTATGAAATTCATCCTGATTTCTAAGTGAGCCAAGTTGAGGCAGTGACTACCTCTCTAGCGTAGATGTTACCAACCATCCTGTTAAATAAAAACACAGAACCAATGCAAAGAAGAAAGCCAAGAGATCAGAGCTAAGAGCCTTACCGCCTGCTGCAGCTAGCCTCTTAAGCCAAGAGACCTCTCCGAAAGGGACCTACTTCCTGTGTGTTTGTCTTTATATAGTCTTTCTGTTCTGCCTTCTCATTGGTTGAAAACCCCACATGACTGCCTCATCACTGCTTGTATGTACAGCCCTCCAGGTTTTTTTATGGTATTGAGATTAAAGGTGAGTGTCTCCAATGCTGGCTGTATCCTTGACCACACAGAGATCTACCTAGCTCTTCTACCAAATGCTGGGATTAAAGGCATGCGCCATGAACGCCCAGTTCTGCTATGGCTTGCTATTAGCTCTGACCCCCAAGCAACTTTATTTATTAACATACAAATAAAATCACATTTCAGTACAAATAAAATACCACCATACTCTAATGCAGACTACCTGGTACATCAGAAATCTGATGAAATGTTT